TATACGCTTGAGTCTTGCTCACAACTTTACAGGTGCTGTGACACTTCACTGAAAACTCTAAAGAGAAATTATATGAAATTATTTCAATATTTAGGGGGTATTCTGACAAAATTAGGAAAAATCAACTTTGGAACAGGCCAACAATGAACTCTAGTCAGAGGCCGAGCTAAAGTTTTGCAAGCGTGCCATTAAAAAAACCTGTTACTAAGTAAAGTTTCACCTACCGTACTGTTAAAGACGATATCCTTTGCTTCCTGGTTCCTTAAGCAGTTTATCAGTGAGAGTGAACTGTTCATCTCACAGTTAAATAAACTTGCAATTTTCTGAAAATTATTAACAAAGACAAGAACTGTTAGCTATGAAGTGGCCTTCAGGGGTTTAAAACAGGAAATTCTTATACGCAGTACTGTTAATAGTTTTTATTTAAGGGCTGGTTTAGGTGAGCTTGATGGGTCTTTGAGTATTTTATTTTACCAGAAATACTACAGTTTGATCATGAAGTGAAATTATTTTGGTATATTTATCTTTCTTGCTATATTTCCATTCACTGTTCTACAACAAAGCTTGCTGTAGAGATAATATGAGGTTGCAACATAAATCAAATAAGGCAAGAAAATTCAGAAAATCAGCTTATGAGAGATGTACATTCTTACTACCTGCTGTTTCAGGAGGAGAAATGAAAGGAATAGAGAGAGGAATTTAATTTTAAAGGTAGTTTTTTTTTTTTCATTAATTTACTTCAAATAAGGGCCCTCCATAGAAGATCGTAACTGAATAAAACCTGAATGCCTCTTCTGAATTTTAATTAAACTTTCCATAATAAATTTCATAGTTACTGTATAAGTTACAGTGTGCATGAAAATGCCTAGCTTGGCATGTACATAACTGAAAATATGTAACTTGACCCACAGATATTATAATCACATAACTATACAATCTATTTCCAACCCAAATGAGCACAGTAAGAATGAAAATAGACTATTTGAATGAGAATTTACCTAATGCTAATCTATACATTTATAAGTATGCCATGAGAATAAATTTGATCAATGTTGTTCCATATATGCAATCAGATTTTCCCCTTTTCTCTTTTAATGAAATTATCAGATGTAAGAAATACCCTATTTTAGGTTATAAAGGCTTTAAAATGCAAAAAGTGAGCCTACCTTAAGATCTGTTGAAAGAAGTAAATCTTTATCAGGGGGGAGTAGAATTCCACTCTGTGATATTGCTTTATGAAAGAGACCCTTAGACAAAGGAGATAAAACCTGCCGAGAAGGGAAGAACAGAAAGTATTCTACATTAAGGTCCTTATCCCACAACTTTATGCTTCACTAGACTGCTGGATTCAGTGGGGAATTACACATTTTTATGTGCTCACAGGGGAAGTGTCCAGACATAGCAAAATGTGACATTAATCTTACTTCAAAAAATCATACTAAGCATGAAATGTTACACTGAGTTTTTGAAGATTTTTTTTTAAGACTTTACTTTTTAGTACATCTACTGTATGCCTACATGTGCAAAAACAGAGCAAGATCCTGCAGATACACCAAAGAGTGTGACAGATCCTGGATCTCCACCAAAGTGTTCAATATTTTCTTGGATCCACCGAAGAGCTGCTACTTGATCCAAAAATGCCCAGTTCCCACGAGCATGTTCATCACCGGTACTGAAAGAAAAGGGGTATAAGCCAACTTCTCAGGAAGAGTAATAGCTGTTCTAATATCAGAATAAAATAAATCTCACCAACTTACATTTTGTGCAAAGTGTCATATTTGGCCAAGGAAAGATCTGCATAGCCTACTGACCTAAAGCCCTTCATAGTCAGATTTAAGCCCCGCTGACTTACTTGCCTCTGCTGGTTGTTCACATGCGCAGATGGATTCCTGGCCTTTACACGATAGCTTTTGCTTTACGATGGAAGTAAAGGCAAGAACAAACATCTGACCCAGAACCAAATAAGCCCAGCTATGATTTGATAGAAGGCTACAATCAAATTACAATGCAAGTGGAATTTACGGACATTTTTTAATGTTCTTAAGTCCTGATGTCAGTGAACTATGTACATTTAAATCACTGCAACAGTGGGAAGTTGGTATAGAAGTTCAGGTGATTTAGAAAACAAAACTACCCATGCTTTAAACATGACAGGAAGCATTTTGTAAAAAGTGAAATAGGTCATCTTACTTGAGGAATCCAAGGAGTCCAAGTCTGTACTGTATTATTACTACCACAATGCTCTCGTAGGCTGATAGTGCAGAACCATCATATCTAGAAGCACCACCAAATATAAAATTGCCTCCATGGATCCACACCATTACCTTAGAGAAAAAAGGGTGAGACACACTTTTATACATTGCTTGGTAGATTTGATTTGAAAAAGGAAGACAGCATCAGAGAACTAAAACCTCCAAATCACAGAAGCTGAATGGGACCTGAATTTTAGGTTGGTGGTCTTCGAATTTTACATAATAATATTATTTTTGCTAATGCATCATCACATTTTCAAAAGCAATTAAGTGACTTAGGAGCTATAATTAGCTACAAACTTTGTAAGACACAAGTTTGTACAATGGCTTTATGTACAGGTAACTTGTCCTTCTTGTTCGAACCAGCAGGGCTGTAAACATTTAGATACAAACAGTCCTCAGAAGTTCGGAATGGAATGTGTTTTTCTTTAAAATTTTTTTCAGCTGTTTTCAACATGGACAGATCCTGAGGACATCTTCACAAAAGAAAGGAAGCGTGACTATTAGTAATAATACTGCAATAGCAACAATGTAACAATGATAGAACACACTTTCTTTTGCCCTACAGGCTGAATTGCACACATAGAGGTGCAACCTGTAAAAGCACAACCCTATACTTGTACTTAAAAAGCTGAATTATTTCAGCACAGTATAATGAGAAAATGTGATTTCCAAAGACAGGAATTTCCCAGGAATTCTTTGTGGTTCCTAGTCCCACAGTTTTTACAAAATATTTCAGTACCGGCAGCATATTCGCTACCAGTCAATACAAGCTCCTTATGAAAAATCAGACCTCTGTACCATAATAAACATGACAACACTGACAAACATGAGCAGGTCCTAAATACCAATGATTTTAACAGCTCTCACAGTGGTGGGTAGGAAGTTGCATCTCTCAGATCATTCCAGGGCTCAGGTGGTTCAGGCGGGGAAAACCTCAAGGATCCGACGGGTGCTTTTGCAAAAGGAATCCCAAGGAAAACGTTTACCAGTCTGTCTGTCCCCTTCACATTTGCTTGTCTCCCTTTGAGCCGCCCAAGTGCAATAGTCACCTCTGGCTCAGCACCAGTCTGTCCTAAGTAACACATAAGATTAAAAAAAAAAATAATTAAATTGCATCTTCATAATTATCAGACAGACTTTTCAATGAAGCATTTTTTACTGACTGTTTAATTTAGATTTCAGTTTTTTCCTTTTAATTTTGTTCAGTTTTCATTTCGCTTTCACGCAATGACAGACACCCCCTGCCAAACGCTCCCATAGCTGGCTCTGCCAGTGACAACTGGAGCTAGGTAAGACATAGTTTACTCGCTGTGCAGGAGCATAAAGCTTGAAAACAAATTTCAGAGCAAACAGCAACTGTCAAAATCATTATCATTTTCTAAATTTACCATCCAACAAGACCTTAAAAATATTTTGTTTAGATAATTCAGAAATGTTTTTGCTTTCTACCTTTTAAGAAAAACAGAAAGTTTTATTTTCATACAATCATCTCAGAAATGGTTTAATCTCACAAAATCAGTAATTTTTGCATCAAGCTTTTCTGGATACTTTTGCAGATTGCTAACAAAAGCGTAAGAGATGTACTACTGTTGAAACTCACTACACTGCAACTTGTTAGTGCAGTTGCTTCCCCAATAGCAAGAATAACAGATTTTGCATCTCACCTTCTGCTCCGCAAGTGATGAATGCTATATTATAAAACAAGGTACAAAACAAAGCAATCTGGCTTTGAGGAGCCATTTTTCACCCCTGTTTGGACGCTATTCTGGCTGTATGCGGAAGAGAACAGTACAAAGGTCCCTGAGTAGGGAGTGCAGCTAAATTCCCTTTTGGACATGCACTGCATAAAGCCCTTTCAGAGCTGTATTTAGGGAGTGTAAATACAATCCTTAGTGTAAGGCAGCTAACCATTACCTGATCCTGAGAACAGATGATCCGAAAATGACCCAACACCACCTGTGAACAACAACAAAAGGTCCAATCATAGTTAATCTGCTGTTAATCCTACAGGCAGAGAACATAGTGATGCTCTGAAGAGGTTCCAGAGCTGTCAACACTTAAATTCATATAAAAAAAAAAACCCAAACCAACAAAAACCTCACAAAAAACCAGGATTGCAGATTAAAAATAACTAGGAAGTAACAACTAAAAAAGAAAAAAAAAATCAAAATTGTAAATTCTTGCAGACATTTTAATGAGGGCTAGCACATTTGTACCATAATTGACACTATATATGCTTTCCAGCAGGGACTGGCTTCCAGCCTCCAAATTAGTTCTTTATCCCTTCTTGAATAAAAATAGCCCTCCTGCATTTTTCAAAATTAAAGGGGAGATCAAAGTTGAGAGTCGGATTATAGCTTCTTCTGTATGAACAGCCTCAGTGGAGGTCAGAAAGCAAGGGCTATATACCAACACCTTATGGGGTATGTACTTCCCTCAAAAGAGTGGGAGAGGGCCACGACCTCACTTTTTCTGTAACATAGCTTCCTAGAGTGGAAACAGTCTGGCAATCCAACAGATAGGTTTTGCCTGATGGCTGAAAAAAATCCTAACAAATTCTGTAGTCTGTAGAAGCATAACGTCCCCCAGTGTGGATGACTGGCCCTAAGCAGATTAGGCTCAAGGCCTTCTTCATAGCTGGGCCTACAAGCCCAGCCTGCTCCACTCCCAATCTTCAACTGGCAAAACACCCTCTACATAACGGGTCTTTGCCTTTCCACCTTTGATTCGTTTCACGTCTCCTGGATGAATGGCGTCATCAGCATTCAGCTGCAAAGCTCCTCTGCACTGCTTTCACTTAATTCACCTCCAGCGTGGACACTCATAAAGCTTGTGAAGCCAACTTTTCCACCACAGATCGTACATCATGTAAGTTCATCCTGTTTGGGAAACAGGTTTGTCAGAGTAAGGCAATTCTTCTTTAACAAAAAAAGGGTCACAAATGAGGTGATAGGTAAAATAAGATTTTCAATGCAAGAGAATTCAAAGCTACTTGCTATTTCTTACACAGTTCTTGAGTCTCTGGGTTGCAATAGCTTTGGGAAGTGTGCCAATTTCTCACTAATTTCACCTGGAACTGTGCAAATATGCATTGCAGAAGATAACTTGCCTCTTATTTTTTATACTTCCCTCAAATCTTTCTGGACAATCCTTTCTGTTGCATTTATTTTTGTTCCAGTCCAATGTGAACTGTCCTGGGATTTTTGTCAATTCTTGTGGACTAGGAAGACAGACGAAAACCAGCAGAGAGACTTCAACATATGGGAATAGGTGTGTGTACCTGTTTGTGTGCATGCACATCCATCCATGCACATATACAGGAGGCAGGGAACAAGGCATTGGAAAGAGCAGGATTCGATGAGGCTACTTAAGTTGAACGCTTTCCATCAGTGAGATCCAACCAATATGGAATTCTTATGCTGCCAGACTGAACCCTCTTTATCCAATTAAAAAAACAAAACAAAGCAAACAAAGCGCACTTTTAAAATCAGCCAACATCTTCACCACTAAGGGTAAGCCAGCACCGTCAGCTTTGTATTTCCTCAACAGCCAGAAAAACCATGCTTATCAACAAAATTCATTATCCAAAACAACATACACTAATTGAAAGACCAACTTAAGGTAACAAAGGATTAGATTAAGAAGTGTAATGTTAATGTAATCTATATATTAACTGAATATAAAACAAAGCAAAGATGAGAGCAGAGATAAATAGAAACTTTGCTCACAGGTAGTTTGCTCATCTAATTTAAAGTATCAGCAGATGTGCAAACATATCCGTAATCTTCAGAACAGGTCCCACTGGGGGCAAACCCGATCTGGCCCAACTCCCTGCAGTCAAAAGCACACCCAAGGTAACCACCATTTCTGTAAGGCGGTGCCGAGCAACAGAACCACAGTATGCATCGCTTCAACAGCTTTTGAAGCAGCAAGCCTCAGCTCTTTTCAAATCCCCTTTTCTTTCTGTCAGCTGCCGGGGAAACTGCTGCCCTCCACCTGGGGAGCATGTTCACATCTTCTTACCCGCCACCATGACTGGACGCAGCAGGCAGGAAGAAAACCAAACCCTACACAGATCATTCTTTGCAAAGAGAAATCAAACATGGCAAGGAAGCTAAGAGAGGTAATATACAGCATGTTTACGCAGGAGTATGTGCTTTAGTCGCATTATAAAGGGGGGTGTGAGGCCAAACTATGTCATCATTACACTCTATCACTCCAGGTTCTTTAAGCTTGTAGTTTTTTTTAGAGACAGTGTGGCTTTTTAAATTAAATTAAAAGATTAAAGAAATAAAACTTTAATCAAAAGCATTTTGTATTTAACGTGCAGTTTAGCCTACCCACCCTTGGCAGCACTAAGTTCACTTAGAATCATAGAATCATTGAATGTTCCCAGGGATGGGGCCTCCACTACCTCTCTGGGCAACCTGTTCCAGTGTTTTACCACCCTCATTGTAAAAAATTTCTTCCTTACCTCTAGCCTGAACCTACCCTGTTCTAGTTTAAAACCATTTCCCCTTGTTCTAACACAGCTGGCCCTACTAAAAAGACGTTCCCCATCTTTCCTATAGGCTCCCTTTAGGTACTGGAAGGCCGCAATCAGGTCTCCCCGCAGCCTTCTCTTCTCCAGACTGAACAAGC